AAGGAAAAATCACAGCTATTTCTATAATCTCACAAATGCTCAATATCTCTTATTCCTAGAACACGTGAATCCTATAGACTAATTTGTCTAATTTGTTCAGAGTCTTCTGTACACATCAATGTCAATGTTTCCTATACATGCTGAAGAAAGTCTTGCATATGAATAGTTAGAACAGGAAAGTTTGTACTAGCAGTATGCCTAATAACAACAAAAACATGCAAACAACTGAAATATCCACTGGCTAGAGAAGAAGTAAGTGGTTGAGTTACCAAGAAAAGCACAGGAATGCAAAGCAAATAAAACCCAAGGTAATGGTTACCTCTAGAATGAAAAGCAAGGAGATGGGACTGGGGGTGCTCTTTAAGTTGTTTGCTGTTTTCTCAGGTGTTCATTATATATATTGTTTTCTATGTATTAACTATGTCATAAATCTTCCATCAGAAGCTCACTGATACATGTGCCTTTATTTGTCCACAATGAAATGACCTTCAGGAACTTGAAAGTAAGCAAAATTGAGTACAAGAGCTATAATGGCTTCTAGGCCTATTAGATCTAACTGACCTAATACCTGACTGAGAGCATTAACATTTTGAAAGAATGTACTTATCCATCAAAAGGATTTAAATAGCCTATAGAAGCACAGAAAATGAGTCAAAGACAAATACTTACAATGCCTATCTATGCATATCTTGAGGAAAAACCTAGTGTTTTTTTCAGCTAGTGTTAAGTAACAATTCTTCAGAGGTCTCATATCTGCAGATCTGGTGAGGAGAGGCACTGTTTGCCTTTGTTTCAGACTATTTTTATGCCAAGATGTGTGTAAAGTGAAACCACTGAAGTATATAGTGTCTTACCAGTTTTCAGTTAGGTTTGTTTAGTATCCAGTATGACTACAAGACTGTCTCCCTCCCTGGCGAAAGTCAGGCAAAACTTACTGTCCTTTAAAAAAGACTTGGGTTCCTTAAGCCTAGGGTTCCAATGCTGTGATGCAAACTCACTGAGTATGCAACATCTACCGAGCATCTCAGCACCAACCCCAGGGTGCCTAGAAGGCCAGGGGACCAACGCAATCATGAAGCTCATGCTACTTTAATGTGCTGTTAGTAATAATGCCCTTTGTCTCTCATCTACCAGTCTTATCTTCTGTCAGCATCCATAGAAACGGCAGGTTAACCTGTTAGCCAGGATGAAAATGTCAGACTCTTTGTACTTTTTGTCTAGTCCTTTTGGCAAGATCATTCTGTTGCAGGGAAAGATCCATCAAGCTATCCAGTCAAAGGCAATTAAACATCCAAAGCATGTAAGTACTCTGTTGAGCACGTGTGCATGAAGCTAGATTCTGGCAATCATCTAGTATCTCATGAAGATCTATTTTCTGTAGACAATGTACTAAAATAAGCTACCACTAGTACTACAGTCCACATGATAGCTTAAATTAAATTTTCCATTCTAATTTTTATTAAACATTTTTCTTAAATTTGATTATTTTATGCCATGGAAGATGACGCATGTCTTAACATCCTGACAAAATATGGTTTCTGACCTTCAAGTTTAAGGCCAGACTCTGTAATATGGGTAATTCATTCTGTGAGGCCTATTGGGGGACATCCAAATGGACAAGTGGTATACCACTATAACAGGACTGTGCCAAATCTAAGTGTGCATTATTCCTGTTAAGAAACTCTGTAATTACTTATTAAATGCATAGTTAATATCTACCGTAGCTTTAAAGGAGGATACCTACTCCACTCTAATCCCTAATAAACCGAGTTCACTTATTTTAACATCAGCAAATGTGTAATTTAATGTCTAGTTATACAAACTCATAAAACATAACCCTCGTTTCTCTATGTCACATCAATCTTAGAGATAAGGAAAAGCTGTAAAGAAGCTGGAATTTAGATCCTAACAGTCTGGCTCCAGAAGCCATGTTCAAAATCCCCATGTTAAGAGCTGCCTGGCAAATGTTGTTTACTTCCCTCTCTGCAGTGACGTAGCATTATTTTGTAGTTTTCTGCAAGGCCACTATATTCTTCAACCACTCCACTACTACCATCATTGCCACGCTGGGAGAAGGGCTCAGTTCTTTTCTCTTCCATCAGTCAAAAGAGTATCTTAAAATTTATAGTTCTCCCAGCCAAAAAAGGTAGGCCAGATAAGTTCCCAGGGTCTGGAATGATATTAGTATTGTAACTTTGTGTCAGAGTCACCAAGTTTTTTCCCACTGCTCAACTATATGAATCACAGGTCTACTTCAGAATGTTTATATATCCCAGTCTCCTCCACTAGTGAGTTTTTCTGCCCATCACTCAAGATATTGGAACATATTTTGTATTTAATAGTATTAAACTGGATACCCCCAATCTTAACTATCTTATTTCCTAGGATGCCTAGATGCTAATGAGCAAATAAGGACTCCAGATGGATTGTTTTGATTCCAAAATCTCTGGAAAAGGTATGCAAACTATTTTCAGCCTCTATTTTTGCTATTATTTTTCTCAAAGTGAAACTGGCTTAAAATTACTTTTTCCTTCTTGTACCAATTAATTTTTCTTGCATTTCTTATAAAATTTCATAGTAAACTTAGACAAAAACATGCATAAACTATAGATAATTTCTATCCCCCATGAGGCAGTTTGTCATGGAGGTTGCTGTGAAGAGAAATATGAGTTATAGAAGTGCTTTCAATAGTACTCAGCATACAGTAGAGACCAGCTATGATAAGGTTCAAGGGGCCATACTTAATCAGATTTAATGAAATATAAAGCTGCCTGGTTACCATAAAAGGAAATACTTTAATCTGAGTTAGAATAAAAAAGGAAGAGAAGGAGAAGAGGAAGAAGGTAGAAGGAAGAAACATTTAACATTTGTAAATAACCTCAGAATTCTTACAGTCAACAAGTATCAATCTAATGACATTCAGAGGTACTTAATGATTCTATGCATGAATTTCTTCACTGACAAAAACTAAAGATATTGTTTCTGCTCAAGTGTAATATTGGAATCAAAAGCACTTAGTGAAAGACCAAAAGACTATAAAAATCTCATTTTAAATAGTCTTCTTGATTTCCTAAGACAATTACAGAGGTCAGATAAAATTATTAAACATGAAAACACATATAATACTTCTAACAACTAATCTGAAAATAATTAAATATGAGAATGAAAGTCATCCTCCAAAGTAAAAGCAGAACGATTCTCTGAAATTAGTGTGTTGCTTTCAGTAATTTTTTAATTTATGATAAACACCAGGAAGAAATACTACCAGGTTTCTTTATGCCACCTTCATATACCATGATATTAGAGGGAAAACATGAAGAATATCAGTATAAACTGCAGTTCTAGGTACTGGGGGAACACTCATGTGTTTGACAGAACAAATCAAGACAATCAAACACTATCAAAGAAAACAGTCTCATCTTCTGAGAAGGAGAAAAAAAAAAGCCTTGATTTATTATTTATTTTTCTTGTTCACAGCTACTGTCAGGGCTTAGAATAGGGCCTGGCACATAGTAGGTGCTCTAGCATTTATCGCATGTATATATTTCAAAAGCATATCAATGTCTGCATGAATGAATTATCTTCCTTAATCCCTAAAATAACACTATGGGAGTAAGTTTTATTATCATTGATATTTACATAGGAGGAAACAGTAAGACAGAGAGCATTAGTTTTGTAATCTGAAGTAAATTAAAAGGACAGGATTTAAAACTAGATCTGCCTTTGTCTCAAGTCCAAGATCTCACCCACTGGTGGAGAAATTTCCATCCAGGGAACAATTTTCTCCCAGTGCCTAGCTTGGTTCTATTAAGCAAACAAGACCTATGAAAAACAGCAAAGTAACAAGTTTAGGCAGGAAATGTAAAACATACAGATTAAATTTACACAAGGCAAAAAGAAACATCTCTTTGCTCAAGGGTTGCCATGATTACCCTTGCCACTCTCTTGCCAATCAGCCATAAGTATGATTAAACCAGGATGTTTAATCATACTTATATTTGAGATCCTCAGGTTAAAATGAGAATCATGAAATGAGAATCAGGTGGGCTTTAGTCATAGCCACAATCCCAACAGACACTAATACATCTTATAAATAACATCTATCAAGAAGAGTATTTTAAAACATTTTTAATTTTTTTTTTAAGATTTTATTTACTTATTTGACAGACAGAGATCACAAATAGGCAGAGAGGCAGGCAGAGAGAGAGAGGAAGAAGCACGCTCCCCGCTGAGGAGAAAGTCCAACAGTGGGCTCGATCCCAGAACCCTGAGATCATGACCTGAGCAGAGGCTTAACCTAAAGGAGCCCCTAAAACGTTTTTTAAAAAAGCACTTTGATTGGCTTCTGATTTTGTAGACATATACTGGGTATGGTTTAAACCACATGACTTCATATTGAAACAGTTAAAATGCTTATTTAACAATGAAAGCATTTGTTTCTATCACTAAGACAAATGGGGTCATGAATGGTCTAACAGATTTGATAACATTTGTGAGTGACATAAAAACAGGGTTACAGCCTACTATTAAGGTCTCATTTTTAGACCAACTGGAACAATTAGAAGATTGTATACTGAGTACCCAAAGGAAACACTTTCACTAAGTTGATTTAAGAGTACATTACTAGTATCTGAGGTAAGCTACAAGAAAGAACTCAATGAAATTTATCAGTCTAGTTGCCAAAACAGGTATGTTTGCTCAGGATATTTTTCATAATATCTCTAATCTGAGAAGCTTCATATAAAGTTAGGGAAACTTTTGGTTCCTAAGAGGCTAAAATGGCTTTTCCTCCCAGATAATGAAACCATAACATACTTTCCCTTTTCACCTTTGTAATAAAAAAAATGTAAAGTCAAATTTATGGTTTAATTTAATCACATTCTCCTAGATTTCTGTTGTTTATTTTGTCTGACAAAGGCAGATAGTCTTAATGTTCTTCTCCAGTAAATCCAATTTCTATACATATGAATAACACACTGAAAAATATTTAATCTTCTCACCTGATTGGCTTGGCTTTGCAAGTAAACTCTTCTGGCATTCAGATCTTCAAAGGCAGAAGGTCTTGAGCTTCTATAAGGCTCACTGGTAACAACTGTCTCTTGCTGGAAAAGATGATCTTTCACTAGAGAACTGGAAGTGTCCTCTTCAGTTGCCTAATGGGAATAATCCCCCAAATTCATTAGTTGCCAGAATATAAACAAAAACAAAGTAAGAGAGTTTCAGTCTAGCAAGTATTTAGCAAATCATTAAGTACCACTACCATCACTATAAATGGCAATGCCCCAAACTCATATAATTATGATTAGGGAGCCAGGTCAAAATAAAATAACAATAATATTAATAATAAATCAATTTTATGAGCAAAATGGGCTTCCTTCTAGAACACAACTTAGGAAGAATCAAAAGCCTAACCATGCCACGTGAGAGAGATAATCTAATTAAAATGAAGCTTTAAATTTAAATGAGAAGTGACATACATACATAGAAAATGAAATTTATTACAGAGAAGAAACATATCAATATAAGTGTGTCTTGTAAGTTTAAAAAGCATGTACCAAGGACTGTGCTGTGCTATATGATACAGGGGATCAAAAGAAATCCACAGTCCATGATCTTACTGAATGAATGAAAGAATTAATTAGCCTGAACATGCTGATTCAACTCAGGCACACGAGACTTAGGTAGGGGATAGGCTCAATGATAGGCCCTAATGACATGTTTTTGAAATTTCATAATTTGTTTAAAGAAATGCAGTAATTATTTGCCATTACTTTTCCTGTTACTGTGTAATTATTTGAAAAGATTGTGAAAGCCAAATAAAAATGACAGAAATACTTTCACTGCCTTAACTTAAAATAATACTTTGGAATAATCACTACAGGGCTAAAAATCTTAAGGGACGCCTGGGTGGCTCAGTTGGTTAAGCAGCTGCCTTCGGCTCAGGTCATGATCCCAGCGTCCTGGGATCGAGTCCCACATCGGGCTCCTTGTTCTGTGGGGAGCCTGCTTCTCCCTCTGCCTCTGCCTGCCACTCTGCCTGTGCTCGCTCTCTCTCTCTCTAAAAAGAAAAAAAAAAAAAAAGGAAAAGAAAAAAAAAAACTAAATGTCAAACCCAGTTAATTGTTCTTTTTAGCTAATTTCCATTACAATTGTTCCAGTGAGTTATGATAGTTACTGCTAAATTAATTACTAGAAATAAGTTAGTTAAATACTAGTAACCAGCAGACATTCTTTCAAAATGCAAGATGAAAACTGGAAAGAGTTAAAAGTTTCAAGAGAGGTATTAAAATGTTCTAGACAGTTTTTAAAATAAAATAATTCAAGTAACTATCAAAAATCATAAGCAGACTGAATAGAAGAAAACATGGGGGACTGGGAGGAGGTTTAGAGAAAGGGCCTAAGTTAAAAACTTGTCTCATCCAACTCAGGTATAAAATTTAAGCAATTCACTTCTCTAAATTATGGTTTTATTATAAACTGGATATATTTGCACCAATAACTTTGGGGTTAATTGGAATACTCAAAATATTAAAATTTGTAAACAAGCATGAATTGCTCCAGTAGCAGCAGTAGTGGTGGCAGAAGTAGTACTAATACCAGCAGTAACTACAAAGTAATTATCCTTATAATGGTGACAACTATTTGGACCAGGTTGTTTTTACTGAATTCCAATCTAATTGAAAAGTATTTTAAGATTTAAGATAAGCCTACTGAAAAATTTGTATCTGAACAAACATAAACTTGTTATATAATGCAAGTATTTTACTCTACTGACTTGGGTTTATTCTATTTATATTCTGTACATGATGCAAAAACACATTTCATTTTGATTAAGAACACATTTTTATTTTTTGTTAAGATTTTATTTATTTATTTGACAGACAGAGATCACAAGTAGGCAGAGAGGCAGGCAGAGAGGAAGGGAAGCAGGCTCCCTGCTGAGCAGAGAGCCCAATGTGGGGCTCGGTCCCAGGACCCCGGGATCATGACCTGAGCCAAAGGCAGAGGCTTTAACTCACTGAGTCACCCAGGTGCCCCAAGAACAAGCATTTCTTTTTTAAAGGGAACTATCTTTTTTAAAGGGAACTATCAAGAGTGTTGATTATTTCATTATTAAATAAATAAAAATGTGTTTATTATTTGGGTAACAAATAATTTAGTTCTACTTAAAAATGTTTACCAAAACAGCTAGAATTAACCTAATAACTATAGTTACTGTATACTATAATTACTATAGTAAATCACTGAATTTATAACTACACCTAAATGGGTCTCAGCTAGTAAAATAAGGAAAACATTCTTCAGGTGTCTTATATGGTAAGAACAATCAACTCCCCTCCCCCATCTATTACAGAGTCTACAATCTACAATAAGGCCAATTATCCCTGAACTGTGAGAAACAAACTAACATTTTTATAGAATCACAAACTAGGAGAGTATTTTCCTACTACTTAATTATATCTCCTTCAGCAAGTTATAAATTTTGATGTATACTGGAAGAGTTTTAAAAAAAGCAGTAATAAGTAAAAATGCCATTCTTATTCACTGCTAATTCTATATACATGAGTAAAATCTCGAACAACCATTTGTGAAAAGTAGAATGTATAAAAGTTTTTAAAATATTCAAACATTTTGACAAATTCTTGAATCTTGCAAAGAAAAAAGGACGAAGCTTTAGGCAAAAGTATTTTTTTCAGAATTACTTTTAATAGTAAAAGTAAAAATGAAGAAATAACCCTAATATCCCAAAATATGGCAATCATTACATAAATTATGGTATCCCCACTTAATGGAATATTGAGCAGTCATTTGAAATTAGGCTTATGAATAATATCCACTATATGGGGAAACACTTAGTTTTTAGAAGCCAGTATATAAAATTTTATTTATAGTATTATCATGACCATGAAAAAATAATAGATTGAAAGGATATAAAAGGAATGTTAACACTTATCTTTGATGGTTTGAGTAATTTTCCAATTTTTCTAGAGCTTTACTTTTATGCTGGCCACAAACAAT